GGGAAGTTTTCACCTGCCAAAACTTGTGGATTATTTGAGATTGGTAAAATGTTTGCCTTGTTTAGTGTGTCCACCATGACTACACAGAATTTCTGGAAAGAAGACGAAACTGGGAAGGAAATTGTTGTACTTCCACAAATGGAATCATAGACAGTTTTGGCTTTTTGATTCGTTTCAATGGAATTTAAGGTAATTGGCTGTGGCAATGTTGGATACACATTGGATAGCATATTTCCAACTGTATTCACATCATCTGTAGAAACATTTCCATATAAAGAAAAGGTATTTTGAATTTGTTCCAATTTGAAATAAGCATTCACTTCACTCAAATCCTTAGTAGATGCCACAAATGGGCTACCTTCAAAATAAGCTGTATAGAATGAAACTCCCAATCTGGAAAAGAACACATTTCCAGGAAATCTATTTCCAGAAATGGAATAAGCCCAAGCAGTAGTTACACAAATAATTCCACCACCTCTATTCAAAAAGTCGGAGAGCATTTGGATTTGAGTGGAGGTTGCCTCACCTGAGAGTGAATTTAAATTCAAAATTAGTAAATCAACGCTTTCTAATGGACGAACCAATTCGTCGAATGCATTCTTTGATGTGTTCAATGAAAATCCTGAAATTGAGTTATAAAAAGTGGAGCCACCACTTTGACTGACTCCGTGTAGCATGTAACTGACATTGGCTTTGTTTTTGGTAGTCCATTTAGCACAATTTTTCAATAATTGAGCTGTGCCAGATGTCATGTCAGATGTGTATGCATAACCGTTATGTCCAAATGCACAAATTCGACCAGCTGTGGACAAGGAATTGGAGCTAGTAGCTGCAACTACTACTGCATTACCTCCAGAACCAACAATAATTGGAACAGAATTGCTGCCATGACTAAACAAATAACCAACATATGAATAAGGAATTGAAGTGACATTTGAAAGGAGAGTTGCTCTAACTTGCAATAATTCTGTTGCTGTCAATGCGTGTGTCTCTTCACTGACGAGGCATACAATGAGACAGAGTAACAGACATGATAACATGCCAAATGTCTTGTTCATTTTTTTTTTATGTTTGGATATTTGATGGTTCTTATTTCGTAGATGTGTTTATCTGATTTTGTAGATTGACGGGTCGAGGAGTGGATTAGTTTGGACCTGATGTGTCTTTATCAGAGATGCCAAGTTGCTTGTTGATAAATGGAAATGAATGAGCAAGATGAAATTTGAATGGAAATTGTTTGCTGCTTTAAAGATAACGAACTGGATTGTGACTATTGGATTATTAGGAGGTCAATTTATGTTTCATAATTGCAGACAAGAGTTTTCTTCATTAATATTCAACATTTTTTGTTAGTGAATGGCTACGGCCATATCACGATGAATGCACCTCATCCCGTCCGATTTGAGAAGTTAAGCATCGTCGAGCCACATCAGTACTGAGGTTGGAGACAACTTGGGAACCTGTGGTGCTGTAGTCTTTTTATCTTTATGGAGAGAATAGGAAATGCCAATTAAAATACCATGATTCAGGGACACGAGTTTGTTGTTTTCAAAATATTTTTAGAATTTCAAGTCTAAGCACAATCTTACTCCAGTACTCTCTGTCTTCCAAGATTTTCCTTCAAGTTATTGGATTTAATAAGGCAAACAAATTTGGATTAGAATTAATTAGTGGAAACAATGAGAAAAGATTTATGTAATCTAATTATATTTGTTAATGCTTCAAATTGATCAAAAATAATGTTTGTTTGTTAATAGTCTTTATCCTATTTGAATTCTTCACAAATTCAAATGCTAATCCACCCCACAATTCATCTAACAATTTGTAAAATGAATTTACAGGTTCCCAAGTTGTCTCCAACCTCAGTACTGATGTGGCTCGACGATGCTTAACTTCTCAAATCGGACGGGATGAGGTGCATTCATCGTGATATGGCCGTAGCCATCAAATCCCAAAAAATAATAACTTTTAATGTACATAGATCTCGTTCCTTAATAATTTTCAAATAATATGCAAAGTAAAAAGGCTGGAGTACCAGGTACTTGGCCAATTTGGTTTTTTATTGTTACGGAATTTAAGGAATAGGAGTAATTGAGCTGTAACAAAAGTAAATCCCAAATATCCATTAAAAAAATGATCAAACCAACCCGAAGATCCACTACTCACACAACCAATACAAATACTCTTGCAGTATTGGATAATCGAACTTTGAAATCATCATGCTCAAATTATAACAATAATCTTCATCGGAATGCAAAGAATCAATTAAGCAATAATAAGCAACCAACTAAAAGACCACCGAAACGAAGTTTTGCTTGGATTGCCTATGATTGCATTGATATGATCTTTGATTTTGTTGGAACAGTTGAGATTGAACCCAATGTTGGAAAGAGGGAATTTTGGAATGATTCATTCATGAATTGGACCCGATTTGCAAAGGATTGGTTTGGAAGATATTATTTGGATGGTAGAGTTCGGTTCACATTTAAACATGGCATTGTTCTTGATTGTAAACATAAATATAGTTTGGAACAAGTCAAGATTTTGTTTGGAATTGCAAAAAGATTAAATTCACCCAATTTATCATTTTGGGAGGCTCAAATAATTAAACAAGCAACAAGAATTAATGAAAGAATGTTTACAAAAGAACATACATATATGGAAGAACTTAAAAAAAGAACTGAAATAATGTTAAAATCAAAAGAAAACCAATCAGCATTTAAACATATTAAATCTATAAATTTGAAGAAAGATGGAATGGAATTGTTGCCTTTATTGTTGAAGGTATTTCCAAATACGGAAAATATTGAACTAGGAAATTATGTTGGATATAATTCACAAGAAAAGTTTAAAGCCAATACTTGTAAAACTTTGAAAATAATTACTTCAATATCATCCAGAAAAAACACATTAACCTATGATTTTATTCCCTGTTTTCCAAATTTAGAAGAGTTTAGTATAAACAATGGGCTCCACCTTGAGAGTGTTTACCTGTTAACAAGATTGAAAAACCTAAGGGTATTGGAAATATCAGACATTAATGGTAATTATCTCGAGAATGTTGAACAAGAAATTTGTTCAATAATTTCAAAAGTTTCAAAATTACAAATACTAACCCTAGACTGTTATTTGCAATTTACATCGTTTGCTGAACTTGCCAAATCCAAATCAATACAGAAATTAAGAGTTAGATCGTATCAGAAATGGAATGAATCACTAATTAAAAATGGATTTCCTGTCCTTAAATCCCTAGCTCTTTCATTTGGTTGGAAATTTCTAAATTTTACTCTAATTCCCAACTTGGAAGAATTAGAAGTATCAAGAGACTCCATTGGTCAGGAACAATATGACTTGAAATATAGAAAAGAGAAATGGCAGCATTTAGGTAAATTGACAAATTTGAGAATATTAAGAATTAATGATTTCCGAGTCACGAAGGAAGAGAGTGGAATCTTTTTTGAGGAACTTGAGAAATTGCAACAATTGAAACAATTGATATTTAAAATAGAAAGAGAAGATAAGGATTATAAGGAAGAGAATATGACTGTACAGAAAATGATTGAAATTGTAGAGTGGATTTCACATCATTTGCTGAATTGTGATAGTGTTAAGGTTTTAAGATTGGGATATATGGTTTGGTTTGACCTAAATGTTCAGGATGATTTTTCACCATTAGTTGAGCTATTTGACAAGACATAGCCTTACCCGAGGATGGTAAGGAGGAAGGACTTGAGAATGTTCTCATACTTTGTCTGTCTCCTGAGAGGAAATGATTTGTTAAGAATCATAAGTCAATTGGTTTTATTACTATTTACAATACAAAATATTTTACTCTTCACCTTCCATAGAATCAGCAACTTCGTGACCTTCTTCCATAGTGTCATCATCATCGTGATCATCACCATCTTCTGGATTTTCCTTTCTCTTCTTTGGTGGACGACCTCTTCCCCTCTTCTTCAAGGAAGGAACCAATTCACCATTCAAATACTTAATGATACTGTTACAGAGGTCTGTCTTCTTTACACCCACGTATTTGATTCCCTTAGATTGAGCAAAGGAGATTAATTCTTGTACCAAATACTTGTCCTTGAGATCATTATAAGTAATGCCACGATCAATTTGTGGTCTTTCTCCTTCAGTATTAATGACGCGTTTTCTTCCACGTTTCTTGTGGTTCTTAGAGTTTGGAGAATTGACTCCATCAATATCAGAATGATCATCAAATTCATCATCTTCAGTCAAGGAAGAGGCAACAACACTAGCAGCAGCTTCAGTGTATGATCTCTTCTTTGGTTTAATATTGCTAGAATCATCGAACAAGTGTGGCTTCTTCTTCTTGAGTCTTGACATTAAATCCTCAGCAACATGAGGGAATTCATCAACGAGAATAACTTCAGAAAGCATTTCCTTAGTTGGTGATGCATCAAAGACTTGTTTCTTTTGTTCATATTGAGCAGCTTCAGCAGCTTCTCTGAGAATTGACTTTTTACACTTGGCCAAAACTTCCTTTGCACCATACAAGAAGACTTCTTCCAAGATGGCATCAACCAAGTTAGAGTGAGTAGTGTCAACTTCATTAATTTCCAAAGCTTGCAAGAAGAGAATGAGTGTGGCATCAGTGAGAGCATCTAACAATTCTTCAGCACCCATCTTTTCGAAAATCAATTTAAAGTTAAATCTCAAATCAGATTTCTTAAAGAGATGGATGTTTTTAGCACTCAATAAATGTTCTTCATCAATGTCCTTTTGTTGCTTTGCATTTTCAACAATATCCATAGCAGTCTCGTTGCTTATTAAATCCTTGAGAGCAAATCTCATATCTTCTCTATCCAATTCAGTGAGGAAATGTTTGACACCAACACTAACAACCTTCTTTCCAATTTCAAAAATCAAGAATTCCTTCTTGTGGTCTTCTGTGAGTCTCTTTCCCTTCTTTAATTTTGGATCGGAAATGGTAACATTATTCTTACTAGCAATATGTTTGATAGTCTTGATTGGCATTCTCCACAAGGTAATTGCAAAGTTGTGAATAATATCCTTAGGGAAGTATTCATGTTCGAATTTCAAAGATTCCTCATCATAGTCTGACTTGAGGGTGGTCTTGACAAGATAGAGGTCTTCTTCATCCATTGTGGAACTAGATGGTTGCATTGATTGATAGACAATAGGTGCTTGCATTGCAGCTTCTTCCTCTTCTTCTTCTGAAGACAAGAATGAAACTCTACCATTAGAAGAACCTGCTGGATTGGTGGCTCCATTAATCAAGTATTCAAACTCATCAGTCATTGCTGTTGCTTCCAAGTCTGAGATTATTTCTTCTTTTTTACCTAGATCTGTTGTTGATGTTGTTGATTCTGCACTAGTTGGATCAGCCACTTTGGTTGGGCTTTTAGGAGCTTCTTCAGTAACTGGAGTTTCCTCCTTCTTGGTATCGTTTGTTTCTGTGCTGACTTCTGACATTTTCCTAAATAATAGTAATGTTTAACATTGTTAAGAGAGGTGGTTGAGCAAAGTCAAAGGATGATGATGGTCGGGTGATAATTATTGTTGAATACATGATGGTTCAACCAAATAATATTATTATAAAATTTTGTATTATTAATTTTCATCACAACACCAATTCGATTTTTAAAATTTTAATTTTTATGGTGATCATCACGGAAGGTTAAAAAACATTATATAATTAATAGAATTAATATTAATAAATATATAATCATAGTGATGATCAATAGCTTACCTGAACAATATTAAAACTTTTTCCGTTATGTTTAATAAACTCTAGACAATTGTTTTCGCTTTTAAACTTTCAGCTGGAGAAAACCTAAAATTTAGAAATAAACTGTTCGTAGAGTTAGAGTTGATGGTGATGTTGTGTGTGGTTCGTAGTGTTTGTTCCTTGATAAATAGGACGACCACAGTGTTGGCTTAGATTATTTGGATAAAATATTTTTTTAAAAATTTTTGAAATGCTTTCGAAATTTATTCTTGTAAAAAAAACCAAATTGCGTAACGCAACGGTCCGGAAGTTATGCAAACAAAAGATGTGCTAGATAATTGGTTGACTAAACTACAACAGCTGTTGTGTCTTTATTAAAGATCCACTGGAAGAATGCCTTGTCGCTACAGGTGGTGGATTATGATCCACTGAAGAACATGACATGGCTCTATCTGAGCTGGATCGTCTTGTTCTCTCCAGAGGCAGAAGAATATCTCTGCTCCTCTTCAAGACTATCAAAGTAGGAACACATCCATGCAAAACCTTGCATAATTCCTCCTCCATCAAGTGCACAACAAGGCTGTAGGTGGTATTGTTTCTTTCCGAGTGGAAAATTCAGCTCTGCATAATCATCTTCCTCCTCTTCATAGTGATGCAAACATTGGAAGGATGAATCCAAATCAGATGTGGAACATGTTCCTCCACCCTGTTGACTATTATTGCTGTACAGATAGTTGTCACTATAACATGGTGAATTATCTCCTATTTGAAGTGTATTTGGAAAGATGGAAGGTGGTGAAGGTGAGCTTACTTGTTGCTGTAGTGGTGGAGAGTTGGATATTACACTCGTATTATTATTGACATTAGTGGTTGGAGATGATTGTAGTAAACCTTTCCTTTCTCTTAGAGTTTTCAGAAGGATCTTTTCACTTGTTGGAGAATTGGCAAATCGGAAAGATGCTGTTGTGGAATTTGTGTTATCAAAACTAGTTGTTGGTTGTGTACTTGTTGAGGGATAATCCATGGCAAATCTCACTCTACTCAAGTGTCTATTCTCTATAACAGCTGGCATTTCCCTCTGTTGTTGTTGCTGAAGGAATGCACCTCCTGAACTCTCAGAATTGTGTTCCGATAATAGAGATTCATCAGTTTCATCATGATGTTCATCCATGGCAGTGAGTGCTTCCAATCTTAGTTGTTGAAGAGCATCACTTTCAACACCTCTTATCAGAAAATCCTCAAAATCCTCGAGAGGAATATGTTGTGGCGAATGAGAAGATGTATGTGACATTGCCTTACAACAATCAACCTTATTAATCATGATGAGGAAGGGAAGATGAGAGAGACGTTCATCGGATAGTAACTTTCTCAACTCTCTTCTTGCCTCCCTCAATCGAGTTGGTTCCGACGAGTCAATAACAAATATTATAGCTTGATTATTGTCATAGTAACAATTCCATAATGATCTGATGTGTTTCTTTCCTCCAACGTCCTGTTTTTTTCAGGTGAATGATGATGTAAATGTATGAATTGGTTATATTTGAATTATTAATGGTCGAGTTTAGGAATATAATTATAATAATAATACCACTTACGAAAATATTCAATTCATACTTGCCACACTTAATCGTCTCAACATTATATCCAATTGTATTAACTGTAGTGATGAATTTTCCTAATTTAATGGAATATAGTATGGCTAGGGACAAGGTTTAACATTACTCGAGTAATGTGGAAAGGTAACTTACTTGTTTTACCAGAACCATCAAGTCCCAAAAGTAACACTCGTTTCGGAACAATTTCTCTGAATACCTTAGATTTACTAGCTCCCATTATTATTATGATTTTATATTTTCTTATTATGCTGTTATATATTAGAGAGGTTGGAAATGAGGAGATGGTTTCTAGTTGTTGTGGTGGTATTCTTATTATTTACAAACGCTCTCTATTTGAATTGCTCCTACCCTTAACTCTTCTCTCAATTTTTTTCAAGTACTTTCCTTAATAGAATACCTTCTTTAATGTAGTATTTCACTATACTAGGGCGATATAATAATTTGTAAATTCTTTAATAGTTACTTGTTTGTTTTGGACAAGAAGATGGCATTCATTGTCCAAATAAATTTCCTTATTATCCTTTCAATGCAATGCGATATTAGTCTATGAACTTTCACTTAATTCACAATGTAATATTCATTGAATGGTCGCACTGTGTGAACTTTGAAACAACAACACGTGTTTCAAAATTGATTTTCTTTCATTATTATTTATTAAATTCCATCCAATCCTTATGAAATGTATACCGAAGAAACCGAAGTTGTAACTTACAAAAGCCAGAGAATACTAGTAAACTAACTCCATCGAACTGCAAACTCTAATTTTACCTTCCGTTGATTTTCTTTTAAAAACAAAAACGGTGAACTTGAATTGAACAAAAAAAAACACAAACAGTTTAATAATAATACTGCAAAACAACAAGATGAGCAACGTAGTTGAAGAAATATCAGGACTCTTCGGATGTCATATTACTGTCAAGAACCATATGGATGGAAAGACTCCGTCATCCGAACAAGTTGAAAGATTTTCCAAATTATGTAGAGAAGAATTAAAATGTAAACCAGTGTTGGTCTTGTATCCTTCTGAAGATAATTATCCAGTTGAATCCATCAGAAATAGACCACAAGAATTAATGTCATCTTCCTATCATAGTGGTAAGAAATCTGATGTTTTGAAACACATTCTTGGTATGGCTGATACTATCAAAAATAATGGTTTTGAATTGTTAAGAGTTAAATTGGAAGCTATGGCTAATTGTAAGAATATTGAAAAGAATTTAAGCTCTGATTCTTCAAGTGGTAATGATATGAAATATTTTGAATATCATACCAAGATTTATTTGAGAGGTCAAGATAGAGTTGCTCAATTGGCCCATTTGGATAGTTTGTTAATCAAGGAAGAAGTTGCTAGAAGCCAAAATTTACTTGGTAAACATTATGATATTTGTGGACATTTGCTCACTTTCAGATGGTTTAGCCCAACTCCAAAGGAAGAATGTGATACCTTTCACAAGGAATTTTTGGCCAAACTAAAAACTCATTTTGAAAATGGAGGTGGTGAAATTGAAATTGCTGAAAGTGAAAAGGAATTTGCTGTCTATGATTCAAATATTTTGGTCGATCAAGGATGGGTCAGGATTTCTCCATAGACTATTAATTCCATAGACTGCAATTACCCTGAAACCAATAATACTACCAATACTATGGAAATTCCAATCAATGGACCAATTCAACCATTAGAAAGCACAGAGGATTAATCCAACCAATATTATGTACCATTATCAAATGATTCCAAGAAAATTTACTTCTTGATTTGTCCCACTAATTAATAAATTTGTATTAATTTATTAATATGAATGACTCTCTTTCACTACCTTTCAAACTCTCTCACTTATTTACAAACTTGAAATAACACACAAACTGTGTCGTGGCCGTGCACTCTCGAATAATCGTAATAGAGATTCTCGAGAGAGTCATTAAAACAGAACCTTAAAAAAACGCTTCGCACCATCATATTATTCATCATCATTATTATTATTAATACTTCTCCATAGCCACCAAATAACAACAACCATAAAAACAATGGAACATTCTGGTGTTGTTGTTTCTCCGCGAACGAGTATACTTATTCAGGGTGGGGTTTCTCATCATCAACTACAAGCAGCATCAATAGATAATTCAACAGTTCTCTTTGAGGGAATAAGGAGGCCTCAAAATGAAGTTTTCGATGGAAGTAGTATAGTGGAGAGTGAGACAAGTCATCAGACGGGACGATCTTCATCAATCACTTCGTCAATCATGAGGAATGGACAACAGGCAATCTTTACATTCATCTCATCAATGAAAGATAGAAAACAGAGGAGAGGATGGAAACAGCTTTTATTATCTGTTGCGTATAATTTGTATATATTGTGGACTAGTGTTTGGGTCTCAACGTTGGGATCTTTTAATTTTGGAGAGTATGGAGAGTGGGTTTTTCGTGCTCTCAATTATCCAATTACACTCTCATTGGATTTAGTACCCTATGATGCTATGGTTGTTATCACTAGTTTGGTCATTACCATTTGTTTTATAGCCATGTTGGTGGTCATGTTCTCCGCTTGGGGAGTTTTTAAAGCTAGTAAGCACATGGAGAAACTGAAGAATCTATTACTATTTGTTGGCTTTTTCATGAATGGGTTATCAATGATATTTGCCTTTATTTTGACAAGTTTTATCGAATGTGATTATTCAAAGACAGTATACTTTGAGGAGATTGATAATTCAGATTATGCATTGCAGAGATTTTCTAGTGTGAGATGTTTTGGAAATTCAAATTTAACTCTTTATGCATTCTCAATTGTTGCCTTCATCACTTTGTGCATTAGTATAATGGCGACACGTTTTAGTTTTTCTCCTACATGGGATAGCTCTCTTGTTTTCAAACCGGTTTATGATTGGCCTTTAACATTCTTCTCCATCACGAATATTTCACAAGTGTTCATTATTTTCTTTATACCCTCTCAAAAAGTTTTTGGGAGAGCAATTGTGCATTTGGTCATGTCTATTTCATGGTTTATTCCTTTGTTTCTATCTCTTCCATTCCAAAAGTCTTGGGAAAATTCGATTTATTCAGGAATTGCAGGAGCAAAAGTTGGAGGTGCCATTGGATCATTAATATCTTCTTTAACTAACACTTCAGTGAAATGGGATTTTGGATTGGGAATGATGGGTCTTACCTTAGGGTTGATTGTCATTGGATTCGTTGGAGGAATTATAGCTATGGAAGCTTACATTAGAATTATCAAGAGAAGAATTGGACAGATTATTCTCACACAAGGTGGGCAATATGAGGATTTGAGTTCTTCTAAAGAATCAAATCTTATAAAGAGTCTTTCTAATGAGACTATACGAAGTCTCATTGAAAAGAAAGCCACCTCAATACTAGTTTACATTTCAGAAAAACAACTAACAAATCAACTGAATATTTTTCTCCGTTTTAGCTTCTCAGTTGATATTATTCGTAAGAGAGCAACAAATTATGAGGAAAAACCAAAGGATCCAAATAGCTCACTCACAGATACTGACATGGCTCTGGCACTCATTAAGGGGGCTCATAGTAGTAGAGTTTTGGCAAATCCAATAACCTTATATTTTGCCACATTATTGGTCTATTACTGCATGACAGAGGAGAGAGCCACAAATTATTCCCTCTCACTAATGACAAAACTAAGTAGAATAAGTACATCACTCACTGACAAGATTGCTTGTCATGATTTGATGAAGGAAATTAACAAGAAGGAGAACAAACCAGTTGTCGCTATCCATACCGATGCAGAACAACTTGCCTCTCGTTTAGACTCCAAACTGAAAGAATTCAAAGCACTCCATAGAGAATTCTTCAAGGAAATGATGAATGATATTGTGAATGTGGAAACATTAGAAATCATCAATACACAATGCACAGCCATCATGAATGATTTGGACACTGCATTTTCAAACAGACTCTCAGCTTTCAAGATGAACAAGTCCTTCTTGAGAATTTATGCAAGATATTTGGAAGAGGTCAAGTTCGATTCAGAAACTGCAAATGAATTCTACTCTGAAGCACACGAGCTTGAAGAGGAAGAAGCAGCAAACTTGTTAAGAAAATCAAAGAAGGCAAAACGAGTGGAAGCAATGAAAACTTCTGCAGTAGGAGGGGAGAGTATCGCCTTTCTTGAGGGCTTGTATAATAATAGGGCGAATGATAAATCTGTAGAAGTGGATTTGGATGATATATCAGAGAATGTACTTTTGAATGGTGTGGAGGAAGATCCAAGTTTAAAGAGAGATCAAAAATTCAAGATGGCTCTTGCACAACCAATTGGACACGAGTTCAATATTTGTCTTGCCTTATGTTTTTGCCTTCTTTCTGCAGCTTTCCTGATTTGTGCGGCAGTATTGAGTTTGGTATTCTCTGATGGAGTGTTAGCTGATGTGAAATTCGTTCAGCAAGTTTGCGAGCCAACAGTTTCAAGTTATGCAATTTTCAAACAGATTAGAAATCAGCAAATAGTGTTGCAGATGAGTCAGTCTCAAAATTCAGTTTCGCTCCAGAAGGCACTTCCTCAAATTTATCATGAAATGGTATTATCATTGGAACAGAGTGATCAATCGGTGGAGAAAATTACTGAATTATTGAAGGAAAGGGTTGATTTCTACGTTGAACACATTGAGCATGTTAAACTAATGTCACAAGGAAAAAAGATTGGAAAGTTCACACCTGAAATGTATGACGACTACAATGGAGAAACAAAAAAGCTCTATCTTCCAACTGTAAACAAAAGAAGCAGTGGATATTATGACAGTTTCATTGTAAAAAATGTTTCACTCTCAGAAATATCCTCCATTCTTATGCACTTGGTGGAGTCCTATCCTAGTAGTGGTTTCAATTCTACAGTTGATGTTTACAACTTTATGATTCTCTATCTCAATTACAATAGTTTTACAAATGCTTTTGTAGAAATTTGCTTTGATTTCATTGAAAGATGCAAGGTAAATGCGAACACATTTACAAATGATTACTTGTACTTTTTCGTGAGCATTGGTGGAGTCTATGTTATCTGTGCTGTTTCTTTCCTTTTGTACATGAAGATTTTCTTTTCTCAGATTGGAAGAACTCTGAAAACTTACGAGAAGAACATCAAGAAGGAGCTCATCTCGAATATTTATACCGAATTGGGAAAGTACACACACAGTAACTCGTCTCAATTTTTGAACACCTTCAACAGGAAGAGAAATATGCTTCGATATTTAATTTTCATTGTTATGGCTCTTGCTTCCTTATTATGTGCATCTATGATGTTTGCCGAGTTGGTATTGAATTCAGAATTGGGTTACTCTACCATGCTGAGTGTCAAACAAACAACAGAGACCCTTGTTTTGACTCAGAATATTGGATTCAAGATGGGTGAATTGACTTTCAGTAATTTACCGAGCTCACTTTTCAATTCAAAAACTCTGTTCAATGACTCAGCCTTAAATTTATTCAAAGACGATATCCGATTCAATGTAACAGATCTTAGATCTACATATAATGACATGATTTATGGAAAGATTGGAGTCTCACCTTCCATTTTGGGAATAGTACCAAGAATTGATGAAATTATCACCACTAAAGCTTGTGAAAACTGCTCCAGCTTGGAATCTATTGTAGATGAATTCGTGGTGAGTTGTGTAAAGCTAAATGAAGACTTGATGAAGAATATTTACTCAGATTCTCAATTATTGGAGAAACATTTCCAAATTGATGAGTTGGCACATACCATTAGTATAGTCTTGCTGGAATTCCTCGCATTATTCACCATCACTCGTTCCACTCCTTCTGTCTCAATGGTAATTGTTTTTGGAGTGCTTGGTGCTATCTGCATTGTTTCAATCTTTTTAATGTTGAGAAGTATTTTCAAATCACATTCGAAAAATACGGAACACATGAGAATGCTTTTAAACTATGTTCAATATGAAGAGTTGGAATTATCTGATGAGCTAAGAGAGTACGTACTCTATGAGAAACTTCCAAGTAGATCACTTTTTGGAAAGAAGAAGAATATTTCTAAAGGAACAGGTGATGAATCCAAAGTGAGAAATATTCTCAATTCTGTTGTTGACGGAGCAGTTCTTTGCAATAGTGCATGTGAAATTGAAATTTTCAATCCAGCAGCCCAGAAAATGTTCAATTGCAAACAAAGTGATACCCTTGGTACTTCACTCACAAGTCTCTTCGACAGGAACAATAGAGACGAGCTGAGCCGATTAATCTCCGAATTAATTCAATCAACTCTCACCACAAAGGAATCTCAAGGTGAAACTGTAGATTTAGATTGTTTGAGAAAGAATCAAACTAAATTTCCAGCAAAGGTCAATTTATTTTCCACACTCTTTGATAACAAGCCTGTTATTACTTGTTTCATTAAGGACGTGACCAATGACAAGAAACAACTCGCTCTCTTGGCTGAAGAAAAGAAAAAGTCTGAAAACTTGTTAAGATCCATTTTACCAGAGAGTGTCGCAAGTAGATTGAAATCTGGAGATACATTTATTGCAGAAAAGTTTGATGACATGACTTGTTTCTTCTCTGATATGGTCGGTTTCACGAAAATGTCCTCAACTCTTAATCCAACTCAATTGGTTGGCATGTTGAATAATGTAGTGAATGGCTTTGATGCCCTCATTGACAAACACAATTTGGAAAAGATCAAGACCATTGGTGATGCCTACTTTTGTGTGGGTGGAATCAAGCTCTCAGAAAAGGATGACCATCCAGAAAGAACACTCAAATTTGCCATAGACGTTTTTCAGGTGGTGAGATCTTACAATGAGGAACATCGACTAGAATTTGGGCATCAGATCAATATTAGAATTGGTTTGAATACTGGAGAATCTGTAGCTGGTGTAATTGGAACAAAAAAGTTTGCCTACGACTTGTGGGGTGATGCTGTTAATACAGCATCTAGAATGGAATCGACATCACTTTCAGGAAGGATTCAAATTTCACTATCAACTTATGAAAGAGTGAAGCATATTGGATTTGAATTTGAGGAAAGAAGTGTCGAAGTTAAAGGAAAAGGGTTATGCAACACGTATCTGTTGTCAGATAAGCACCATGTAAAAGCAGTTGTTGAAGATGAGATTTTTGAATAAAGAAATAGACTTGGTATTAATTTATTATTAAAAATCCAATAATATTGATTCGAGGCAAATATTGATGATGTATATATTAATAATTGTGGGAGGCAAAATTGATGAGTGTGGGATTTGAACCCACGCCCTTGCGGAACACGGTATTAAACATACCTTAACGTGTCGTCTTAGACCACTCGACCAACTCACCATCATATTGCTTGATTAAATAATCAGATAACAAAAACAACTGGGAACATCTTAATTTTTTTCATTCTTTTGGCACCACTTTTTGGTTTGTTTATCATTCGGAGAGAACCATTAATATTAATGTTTTTCAATCAAGTAGTAAATCCAATTTTGGATTACTTCAAAAAAATGAAAAGAAATCTCGAAGCACAAATAACCTCTTGCTCTTCCGATTCAATCATCAAAAAAATCAAGCCTAATTTATCGGAAATTAGTGATGAAAGAACAATTGATCATCGTTTGGAATTTTCCGATGATGTTTGTTACGAAGTGATGGAATATTTTTCATCGAAGGAGGTGATTAGGAATTGTTTTCTAATTTCTAAACAGTGGTTTCGTGTGGCTTGTACAAGACATGTCTTTGATGTGAAAATAAGTGATTGGTCAGCTTGGAAGAGATTTAGGAGCATGTTACGAAAGTATTCGAATTTAGAGGAAACTTCAGAACAAAAATTGTTTATTGAAAGAATTCAATCATTGGATATGGAAAGAGTGATCGGATTTCTTGCATTAGAAAAGGAAATTAAATGGATTGGAAGGCTAAAAGGTTTGAGAAAGCTAAACCTTTCCAAAAATGTAATGCATAAATGTGAAAATACAAGCTCACTGACAAATTTATTATCACTAAACATTTCAAAAAATCGTTTTGATAATAGATGTGCGGAAGATATTGGAAAATTAATTGGACTGACTGAATTGGACATTTCTGATAATAGTATTGGAGCAGATGGAGCTCTATGTTTGAGTAATCTCACCAATTTGACATTCCTAGATATTAGTGGAAATAGAATAGCAGCATCAGGTGCCGAAGTAATCAAGAACTTTACCAATTTGACCTCTCTAGGTATTTCTTACAATAAGTTAACGGATGTCAATTTTTTGTTACCATTGAAAAAATTGAAACTCCTGAACATTTCGGAAAATACTATTCGTATTTCAGGTTTGAAATTGATTAATGGAATGAAAGGAATTACGAGCTTAAATGTTGCAAACTGTAACATAGATAGCATTGGTGCAAGTATAATCAGCTCAATGGAAAATCTGACTAGCCTGTCAATATTTGGTAATAGATTATCCACTGAAGGAGCAAAACAAATATCCACAATGACAAAATTGACAAAACTTGATATTAGTTGGTGTAATATCAGTTCAGAAGGAGCAAAGTATATTGGAACAGGTCTTTTCAACCTCACCTCACTTGATATTTCTAAAAATTATATTAGGATTGATGCGACAGGATTGAAAGAAATTTCCAAATTGAAAAACCTTACGCAACTATGTAATGAATGATATTGCACCAATTATTCCTCTACCGAGTTGAAAAATTGTGTAGTAAATACAATTTATTAAGGAATTTTTTACAAGTTTACAAACATGAATGCAACCATCAAACAGTACAAGAGGAAACTATTCAATAATGCATTGGATGCCTG